TATATGTTCATGTATAACTGAAAAATTGTGCTCTACACTGGAGTCTGACATAACATTGTAAAATGATTATAAATCAATTAAAAAATGTTTAAAAAAAGAAAGAAAGAGAGAAAAAGAAAGAGAGAAAGAGAAAGAAAGAGGAGCAAAGAAAGAGAAAAAAGAAGGAAGGAAAAGAGATCCACCCTCACGGTCTAGATGTACAAGCAGAGGTCAAATACAAGACAAAAACCAAACCCCTCAGGAGGCCAGTGGGAGTGAGGTGAGGACCCACCATCTGCTCCAGGAACTTCTTTGGGGGCTTAAGGAAGTAAACACCCAAAGGGACTCTGAGGTGGCTCCTGTCTTACACGACTTTCGTGCCACTTACTGAGCCTCTGCTGTCACCTGGTTGTGTACGTGCTGGCTTTGAGTGACTCTGCCTTTGTCACAACAACTTTGCAAAGCTGAGTGCACCCATCTGTATTTTTTTACGACCCAGGACTGGGGTGGAGTCGGGGTGGGAGGGTTCGCCTGAGTTCACAAAGTAGTTGGTGGCAGAGAGGGATTCTAACCCGGGTCGCTGTGACTCTGTATCTCATATTTCTTCCACCTTGCAGACCCGTCTTTCTTGTGAAAAACAAATGGCACGCTATAGGACGGTTTCCCACATTTGGTTCTGTGATGCTAGAGACTGGGAGCCATCGGTCTTCCATGGGTCATGGCCATCTCTCCTCATCACTTTACCGATAAGCACTGACTATGGTGGCAAAATATGAATTTGGTTTAAAGTCTCAAGCTTACCTTGTTTTGCTTTAGTTTTATCCCCTTTAAAATAGGGGTATTAATACATATCGAGCACAACTATTATGATAATTAAGGATCTTGCCCATCGCAGACAATGTACAAAAATTCCCTTCTTTGTTTCTGAGGACAGAATTGTTACTTACCTCACTCAAGTCCTTTAAGCTTATCTGTCTGCAAGGAAAAGAAAAATGGTGTCAAATAAAATACAGGTCATAGTGATCAAGACAAAATCATTCTGAGTCCTTAAAAACCCTTGATTACATTTCACTGTCAAATGAATAGCCCATAGTCCAGTGTGATATTTACCACTGTTTTATAAAATTAAAGCCAGGTCATTTTTCTCATAATTTTCCAAGCAAAAGAAGAAGTTATGAGCCAATATAAAAGGTGGTGAAAGAAAAGACATGAATAAACTTGCTTTTCATTTTTGGAGAATTTAAATAACATCATTTCTCCTGACGTTTGGTTTTCCACCTCAGGTTTCATTAGCACGGTCAGACCTGCTACATTTCCTTGATTTTAAAGCTCTTAATTTTTTTTTTGCTTTGCGGAAATATAAAGTATTTTAAAATATGAAGTTCTGGTACAGCGGGACCCCAGGGAGGCATGTGTGAGAGAAAGGATGCTGGTAATGACAGGAGATCTAAGACGGAAAAAACACGACACTGAAGGGCGGGAAGGAATTCAACCTGGAACTGATACAGTGGCCATTGGATGGGTCTCAGAAGAAATGCCAAGCTTCCTTTCATACTGACAGCTGAGTCAATTAGCCTCCCTAAACCTCACTGGTCTCATCTACAAAGTGGCCACAGAGGTATTCAGTCTTAGAGGGTTGTTATGAGGATTGCTAGAGGTAAAAGGGATAATGTTGGGTGCCCAACGGGCGCTACTGGCAGATGTGGGCAAAGCCAGATGAGGAGGCTATGAGGGAGTGGGGGCAACGTGCACATCTCTCTACCTAGGTCTGTCGGGGAAACGACTGGCGTTCTTATGGCTGCAACACCAATCCCAGTTGAAGGCTGCTGATCTAGAGTTAGGAAGGTTTGTCTGTATCAGGTAAGATGATCCCAGAGGCATACAGTGCTCAGATGCTCTATTCCTGGCCGCAGATCTCCAAGCAAGAAGCAAGTGTACCAGGGTCCCACATTTTCAAACTGATTTCTTCAGCCATCTGAGATGGTACATCTGCACCCTGCCTTCCCCTTTTAATGGTTAGAAGTAATAAAGTAGATCAGATACCCATAGTATTCACTCTTTGGGGGTTAAATTGAGGCTAATTTCAGTGTTTTCAATATTTAAGAAACTCTGGCATCTTAGGAATACAGATTGGCCATGTGGCTTCAATTTAAAATGTGTAGTTGATTTAATTTTATTTATTTATTTTTTAAATGTGTAATTGATTTTAGACTTGTGATTAAGTTGTAAGAATCAAGCTATGTTCAACTCCATTTGTAAACAGTTTGAACTGTCTAAGAGAACTTGAACTTTTCTATATATATACATTGACTTTATTAGCTTTATAAAAATTAGATGTTGAAGTTTTTCTTGTTAGGGTTAAACCTACCTGTCAGCATTAGAAGGGCCTACAAGTCAATTACATTAACTGAATAAAGGTATTTCAAATATTTAAGGAGCTTTAACTGAGTTCCTAAATATCTCATGGTCTTAGCCTTTCTAATGTGACAGAGTGATTGTCTTCCTGTTTAGATAAAGTCACTCCATTTATGTACTGAACAATACACTTTATAGATGGAAATTTGAGGCTTCGGGAAAGCTAGGCTTTGGAATTGGTAACTTTAAAAACTTGGATTTTTAAGTGAGAACCCAAGTAAATTGTCAGAAGTCCTGTCTGAACACAACCACCGTCCTTGGGCACTGAGATGCCCATGGTGACGAGACCCCCACAAGACCTCACGTGGAAGATGAAGGCCTCAGGCCTCAGGAGGTGTCTTCAATGAGACTTGTGAAGACAGAGAGACCTGCACAAAGTGACCAAATTGCAGAGCAGGGCGGGAACTCCTCCCGGTAGCACCACGTGGCCTCCCGGGGAACCTCTTCCCACTCAGAAATTTTCCCATCACCTGCCGCTGGAGATGTCAATACATAAAACATGGTCATTGACTCCATAGAATAAGTTTTCCTACATCCTTCCTGTGCATGACAGGTGCTCAGTGTGTGTCTGAGGTTAACACTTTTTACTATGAAAACAGCCCTTTCTGAGTCTCCCTTAGTTTTTGGTTAAGCTTTACATAAATTGGATTTGAATCTTCTTTCTGTCTTGTATGAGCTCCATCACACTCAACAAGTGAAATTTCCTCTCTGAAGCTCCATTTTCCCACCTGTAAAATGGGTAAATGCAGACAGGTACGAAGCGGGATGATTAAGGTTCCCATGAAATAATATATGCAAAAGCTCCCTGGAATAAAATGCCACCTTACATCAGCAGAACACTTTTAACAGTCACGCTCTCTCTTAACTTAAACTTTTTATTCTTGGATAATTGTAGGTCTCATGCAGTGGTAGGAAATAATACAGAGAGATTTCATGTGCCCTTCACCCAGCATCCCCCAAAGGTGATGTCTTGCAAACCTACACTGATAATAAAGTTCACACTTTAAAATCAATAGTTTCCGTTCAAAAATGTGAATCTGTGCATCTTCTTGGTAATCCCTACTTTCTCTCTTTTTATGGTTTCTCGAGACGTATAAAGACTTTTTTCCACTTCCCAAATCATCAGAATACACATAGTTGCCACCAAGATGGTTTGAACTGATGCCGTGGCAGCACTGCTGTTTGAAAAGGGAAAACCACAGTTTGGCAAATGGGTGTTTTGTTTGAAAAACATCATGTCCTTTATTTAAAGTATATTTTGTCTGAACACCGCACCTTGGGCCACTGAGTTGGCTGAAACTTAAAGGAAATTTCGTGGCTCAGTGACCGCTCTGCACTTCCGTGTCCTCATCAGAAAACTGGGGACAACAGCGTTGCTTTCTGCACAGGGCTGTTGTGAGATTTAATGAGTTCACGCACCCAAAAGTCTCCAAAGTGGGCTGAGCAGAGCTGGAACTCAGCAGGCGTCCGTAACGCTCATGGTAGCTCAGGGGGATATTTATTTGGTGCAGGTACCATGGTATTAAAATTGGAATGGATGCGTAGTTGGAAATTACTATTATTACTTTGTCTCATGATGTCAAGGAAGTTTCCACGTGGCGCTTAGTATATCCTAAACATCGCTCCAACATCGACTTCTCTTTCCCTTTCACGGAGAAAACATTCCCCAGGTTGAAAGCTTTGGTCTGAAACTTGGATGCAGTTACAGTAATGACATTTCCTTCTTACATGCATTTATTCAAGTTAAAAAAAACACAAAACAAGTTAAGCAAAACTGACTAAGTCCATGGATGCTGTAAAAGTCATAGTAATGGTCATTAGTGGTTGAGAAGGTCCAACCAACATTCCCCAGACCTCAGTGTTCTGAGTTTTCAGCTGTCAGTGAACGATCTGCATGACATTTCCCTTAACTGAAGTGCTTCAGTTCGGCAACTGTTTCGGGAAGCCAAGACTTAGCTTTCAAATGGAGAAGGGCAGAGCTGTCAGAGACCGATGGGGGCTGAAACACAATGGTGGGGACCACCACTGCCACCCAGGCTGAGCACAGCGGTGGTGAGGGCGGCAGCGGTCAGGTGGATTGCCAGACATAAATCACAGCCTCCCTGGGGAGGGCGATTCATCCCTGGGAGGTGCTGAGGGAGCAGCTGTCAGGAGGGCAGCGGGCGCTATTTTCCCCCCAGAAAGCTTGGCTCTTGGTGTTCCTTCTGTTTTCAGAGGAAGTGAAACTTGCGACAGCCTCACATGGTTGGTCACCTGCGGTCATTAGTCATGGCCATCTGACTACCTAGATGGGGCCAACTGAAAATGGATTCGAAAGCTCTCTTCCTACAGCAAAACTCTCTCCTTCCTGGTGGCATCCCCAGTGACTGGGCTCTGCATATTTTTGCTCCCTCAATCATCATACACGAACCCTATAATTTGGACCAAGTCATCTAACTTCTCTGAGTCTTCGTGACCTCTTGTGCCCAGTGGGTAGGGAAGTGATTCTTACCAAGCACCTACTATGTGCACCCACTGGCCTGGGCACTTGGCCCTTCCAAAGCCTTAGAAATCCTACGCTACGGGGCTGCTGGGCAGACTCAGTGGGAAGGAAGGTGACCGACCTCTGGAGGTGCGTGTGGTGAACAGAACCAGGGGCTCTCATGACATCTAAGGGTGAGCACACAGCTGTCAAGTCTAACTACCCCAGAGACACAGGACGCACACGTCGAATGATTCCAGCACCACTGACACAGCTGACAGTAGGCTGGTGTCATGGAGACAGCAGCCGAGGGGGCATCTGGAGACCAGGGGAGCCTTATTCTTGACATTAGGAGCTTGGCACAGATGGGTAAGGCTCAAGCACCTTCGAAACTCGAGTGGCAGAAACACCCCTAGAACCTGGCTCCCTCTGGGCGCTTTTATCCTGGAGGTACATCAGACTCATCCAGGAGCTTCAAAAAACAGTGTTGCCTGGGTCTCACCTCCAGGGGAAATCAAGCACATGCTGGGGAACAGTACTTTAAAAAAGTTTATCTAATTATTTTAATGTAAAGCCCAGATGAGAAACATTGCACTAGAATATGGAGCTTCTATTTCAAGAAAAAATAGGGACATGGGTGCTGATTCTGTGGGGCACAGACGGGAGATGACGCATCAGTGTTTGTCTTTCTTCCTCCCAGTGACAGCTATCACCCCCGCGCTTTAGAAACACCGCGGAGCTCCTCGCCGCACTTCTGTCTCAGCGGATGTCGCTTGCTTTCTACCAACAAGGAAAGCAGGACTCAACAGCCAGAAGTGACACAGCTGGGATCCAAACCCCGTTCTGCTGGGTCCCAGGGTCCTGTTCTTTCCCGGGGAAAGAAACAGAAGGAAAATACAAATCCTCTCTTCTCTGCCCTAAACACCGCTTTTGGACGGTTATTCATCCGATTTCCTGTCTCCTTCTCTGAGTTCTGACCAGCTCTTGACATACCGGACTATTTGACCAGGAGTTTTAGGGACGGTGCGGTGTCCCACTTCCCGTTCTGATGACATTCCATTGCGTTTTTTTGCTTCTCAGTCTCGCTTTGAAAAGAGAGATCAGAACAGAGCAAGTCCAGTGACTCCTACTCTGGGGAGGACCCTTGAGAAACTGCAGATGGGAATGAGCATTTATCAAACATCCACTGTGGGTCCGGCACTGTGCTGAGAAAGCAGTGTGCGGAAGTGAGCCAGTCCCTCCTTTTGGGGTGGAAGGGACAGACTTGGGTGCAAACATAGCAGAGGCACCAAGAGAAAATGGCTCAAGGTAGGAAATGCAACCGATGTTGGTTAGAAGTATGTGCTGGGAAGGCACCGACAGGCACGCGACAGACATCATCTTATCTAGTCCTCACATTAGCCCATGGGGGACGTGGTAAGCGTTATTATCATCCTCACTTTGCCTCCGAGAAAAACCTCGGGCTTCGAGAAGTGAGTCACTTGCGCCAAGGCAGAGTCTCCCGACCTCTGCACCACTGACCTCTTGGCCAGTAGCTCCTCACTGTGCGGCCGTCCTGGGCACCGTGGGATGTTCAGCAGCATTCCTGCCTCCGCCCACTAGACGCCAGTAGCATCCCCACCACTGATGTGGTCACCACAGAAATGTCCCCAGACACTGCTACCTTCCTTGGGGGCAAGGTCGCCGTCAGTTGAGACCACTGCCCACCTCTGCCAGTTAGGAGAAGGAGCCCTTGCCTTTCAGGCCGGGCAATTTGGACTGAGACTTGAGAACTCTCGGCCCTTCTCTGGCCACGGCCAGTCGAGAAGAGGACAGAGGAGGAAGGGAGGGCAGGAGGGGATTCTGCAGGGAAGATGCATGTTTGTGACAGGCTATAAAGGATGAAAAGGGAAGAGGCATTCACCAGAAAATTCAGTGGGGAAGAGGCATTTTAGACTTTTCACATACTCTATCAGAACCTGGGTTGAATGGATTTTCCATCGAAGCTCAAAATTTTGAATTTTGTGTCCACGAGAAATGGTTACGAACTCAGCAATGCCTTGGGCCCCACCGGCCGACCCCACGCAGCTGACCAGCTATGATGAGACGGCACCACTCCTTCTGTGCAGAAACGAGGGAAATGCCAATCTCTGTTCTGACGTATAAATAAGGTAATTTTCGAACTTTAAACTCTCTCGGGAAAAAAAATACATACCCATTTGTATTTGTCACATTTTGTGATCAAAGTTGGCTGCTCACTGCCTCACACGCTCGGAGTGGGGCTCTGTCATCAGCACTTAATACCAGAGGGTTGGTTTTTTCATATTTATTTGTCAAAAAAAACTGCATTTTTGATGAATGGGTTTTCATGAGCAGTTATACCTTCCTCTATCCTGGAGATAGAAAACGGGGGGCTGAGTTGGTCCTCAAACAGTCTGACCTTCCTTTCAGTCCTGGCATTTAATATTTTCTTTAATAACTAATTCATGTCGCATGGGAGCCACTCTTCCAATAACTTATTTCATCACAAAGAAGGTGTGTTTTCTGTTAAGGAGTCAGACTACAGATGCCTGGGACGATTTCCCTCCAGGTGCAGGTGGCTCCCCACCACATTAGGGGACCCGTTCAGAGAGGTGACTGCTTGTCCTTGCCGCCCTCCCCCTGCGCCCCAGTCCCCTGGTCATCTCACCGCCAGTGACAGCCAGCCCTCACCTGGGCCCTCCCTGGGCTTCGGGAAAGGTGTGCTTCTGCGGGAAGGGTGGCCTGCTGCTCGCCGGCTCAGGGGGCAGCGGCTGGTACTTCTTTGGAAGAGTGATGGGTGGCCTGTGTGGAGAGTCACAGGGGGAACCTGAGGCTTGTCATGCTGGTGGACCCTCAGACCCAGAACTCACACTGCCCTGCCCGAATCTACACGCCCCCAGCTCTGGGTTGGAAACATCCCTTCTGGGGGCTCAGTGCTTTACAAGGAGCCTCGAGTGTCAGAGCAGTCATTCCTCCGACCAGCCTCGTCCCCGTCCCTGCGCCTCGCTCTCGGGGCTGGTTCTGTCATCTAGAGTGGGACGTAACTTTCTCCAGGGTGTCGCGGGTGTATCCACATGCCGTCTGCTGGAGCTTTAGGAGGCTTGGGGTGAAAATATGATGATAGCTTTTCATTTGCCCCAGACTGGAAGACACGAGCTTTTTAATCTCCCCAAAGAAACAGGACAATGCCGGAAAGTCAATGAATGCCTCACTCACTCATATATTCACCCATCCCCTCACCCCTCCACGAAGTGTGGGTGGTGGTGGGTGCCGGAGGTGCAGAAAGGGGAAAAGAGACACGGTGCTTGACTCAAGATGCTTCCCTCTGGGGGGGCAGAGGGAGGAGTGGTGCGAAGACCCCAGCCAGGGGTAAGCGCTGGGACGGGCGTGCTCACGGGGTCCAAGCAGAACAGCGGAGAGGCTGACTCGCTCAGAGCCGAGCAATCAAGTCTGTTGCTTGACATACGTGTAATATGTGTAATAGTATTTGCATGTATATATACACCATATATAAATATATGTATTATATATAAATATGTATTTATATGTGTATGTGTTACATATAAATATATTTATGTGTTTATACATATATAAATTTATATATTATTATATATGCATTATACATTTATACATGTGTTTATTACATGTATTATATGTGATTTATATCTGTATTATATGTCTTATATGTATTTATATGTGTATTATATATAAATATAAGTATTATATATAAATATATACTTATATGTATATATGTATTATATATAAATGCATTTATATATACATATATAAATTTACATATGTCATGCATTTATATATGTATTTGTTACATGTATAAGCCTTATATATAAATATGTATTTATACATATATGTGTTACATATAAATGTATTTATATATATAAATTTATATATAACACACATATTATATATTTACATATGTGTTTATTACATGTATAACATCTGGTTTGCATATGTACGATCTATACACATATGTACTTATATAAATCTATACTTCTATGGTTAAGTCCCTGGAAGGCATTTCCCAGGGCCAATACTCTCTGGCAGGTTTCTGTGTTAAAAGGAGGGAGAGATTCTGCACTGAGAGAAAGGAGAGAAACAGGAAGGAACAGGGGAGCAAGGTGTTCCTTAAGGACTGATGAGTGAAGGTCCGCTGGACAGATGACTGTGGATGAACGAACTATTAAATGGATGAATGAGGCTTGTTTCATCTTATTCATTGACCAGCTCATAGGAGTTGTCAGATGTTTATGTTTCTCTTTTTCAAATTCTTGAAGTAATCATTTAAGTATATAGCAAAACAAAATTCTATTTTAAGTGTCTTACCGAGGAGGTGGCACCGGCTTCTGCAAAAGGAAAGAGAATCAGAAATTACACTGATTGTTCTTTGAGCAGAGCTCGTGGTTGACGGTTTTGGGGTTTACAAATAGAAATGACAAATTCCAACCAACCTTCTGGGATTTATTTTTCAAGTGACATCCGAGACGTCACACTGTCCACGTTGCTATGCTTCTAAAGTAAAGAGTGGGTACAAATGCATTTTAATGCTTCTTCTTACCTTCTTTTCCTTTGTGGATTTGTCTCCTAAAACATAAGAAGGAACAGCAGTGAGTTTATAGAAAATGTCATCAAGCTATTTCCACACGCGTTTAAATGGAAATCACTCCTGTTTGAATCATCTTGTTGCTAATGGCAATTCGTATTTGTTGAGATCTTATTAGATACCCAGCACCATGCTAAATGCTTTAGTTTTGTGATCTCCTCTTAAGATTTCTTTTGGGGAAAGATCCAGCTGTCCAAAAACAATATAACAAAACACATGCTGTTCTGGATGATTTAAGGGATCTTTTAGGTCTAAAATAACCACTTCATTGAACAAAATTACCATTCTCCCTGTTTTGTTTCTGTTTTGGAAAACACTTGTTAAACAGGGTAGACTTCTGTGCATGAATCGAACACGGGTGGCAGACGGGAATCGTAGATGTTCCCGGCATCGTGAAAACACAGACTATGACCCCGGATGTATTTCAACAACAGCAGCGGTCTAGTTAGTGTTAGATCTTCGGCTAGTTCAATGACGTGACTGAAAAACTCAGGCCACAGGCTGCTTTCTTAAGGCATGAAATTAGAAAACTAAAAACTAACTTCCCCTCATTTTATTGGGTATTGGCTTCGCCTTCAGGGCTCCCTGGGGAACTGCCTTATTGCTTATGCCGATGACTTTCCCTGTGAAGCTAAGTGTCGGGTGTCCAAGCGGTCTTTTCTCACAGCTACCACTATATCTGCTGGGGATCAATTCAATTCACTGGAAAAAAATTCAATAAAAAGATTAAGCACCTGGAATTCAATAGGAACGCTCCATTGATTGTTTCAGAGACATCTATCCCACTGGCTTCAGTGACTGTGACGTTAGAAAAGGACATTTATCTTCCTTTCTCTCACTGGCTTATTATGGAGCCTAGAGTGTATGTCGGGCATGGATTCATTTTTAACATATTTATTGATGTAGGCATTGGGGAATATAATACTAAAAAAAGGTGCTATTCCCAGGTAAACGTACATTCCAGAGGCAGGAGACAGAAAATAAGGAAACAAGAATATGTGATGGCCGGTGCTGCCAGTGCTACAAAGGAGACTGAAGTGGGCTGAGTGAAAGATGGGGGAGGGGACTACTATGTTTTAGGCAGACCCTAGAAGCCCCCTTGGTGGACAGGTGATGAGAACAGAGGCCTGAAGAAATTGAGGGAGCACACCATGAGAATACCTGGGCAAGAATACCCCTGATAGAACAGCAAGTGCAAAGGCCCTGAGGCCGGATGAGACCGGGGGGGGCCACTGTCTGAGAGGTGGTGGGGCTGGGGGTGCCCAGATCACACCGGGTCTCACAGGCTCTGGTGAGAACTTTGCTTTAACCGTGTGCATCTTTTTGATACACTGTCCACGTGTCCTGTGCCTTCATTATAAGGTAAGGATTTCCCTGCCATCAGTTAGTAGTCCCCTTCATTAAAAAAAATTCTGTATGATATTATCAGCAGCAGCACGAATCCTGAGGGCTCCAGCCTTATCACATATGCCTACCAGCAGCAATCTACGCCGGTACGCTTCCCTTGTTCGTTGCTGAGGTAACTGAAACCCCACAGACTAAGAGGTAGACATGAACTTCAGGGTGAGAACTCCACAAGTGAGAGAACTAGACGCGCAGGAGAAGTGACTCGTCATTACTGTCATGTAGCTTTGATCGTAATCCAGATTAAATGCAAACAGCTTTTTTTTTTTGGAGGAAATAGAGTTCGTTTCATAAAGTAACAGCAACTCAGACATTTGGGAGAATAGAATAATGGAAGAGGAGATTTGGAGCTGAGTTCCTTAAGTTTGATTGAGTTTTGATTCTGTTACTACAGAAGGATCACGGCAGGTGCTCAATAAGTATCGATGACTTAAACAATTGGATGGAGGAATGGTTGAGTTTTCTCATCTGGGAAACTAAGAAATGGTTACTCACACTTCATGGGAATTTCTGTGCGTAGTAAACATGTCAATGCACTTTAGGCTTTAAGGCACACCCACTGTTACTGGTATTATTGTCTCATGGACCGTTAGGGGGGAAATGGCAGTCTACCCCCGTGATGGGCGACACAAACATCCCCGAATGCTGTGAAACGTTCGCCGTCACCTAAGACCCAGGCAGCTGTTCTTTGAGGTCTTGCTCATCTTGAAATTCAACGAAGCAGCTTTCACCATGAGGAGGCGGGCGTGCTCGCCATCTGGTGGCCGCATGTGTCATTAGCACCACCTGCCCAGCCTCTGTCCTCATGTCGCCCTTCCGTCGGAGACAAGATAATTTCACTTTCGCTGCAAAACGCATTGCTTCTTGGGAGATAAACGGAGTCAGGTGAAAAAGCCTGGCTGTAGAATCTGTTGGACCTGGTTTGACTATTACTTCCATAACTTCTCAGGGTGAGTTTATGAGGAAGTTGTCAACCTCAAAGGGTTCTGTGACATTAAAGCAAAGCTTCCTGGAGAAGAAGGAAGGTGAAACCTGCTTGTGGTGGTGTTTCCGGGTTGGAGTTGAGGGGCCGGTACCAGCTTCCAGGAGCTGATTGTTGCATTTTCAGGACTTGGCAATACAGGTGTTAAACACAGCCATTACTAAAAAATAAGTTGTGTAAATGTACACTTGTATCAAAAACAAAGGTAACACATGCTCAGAACTCACGGCTTCCTAACTCCTCCATCACATTTAAATATGCTCTTGAAGTTATTTACCTCTGTGGTGTCTATGGCGGAAATACTGGAAAATGGTATCTCTTTCCAGCTCTTTGTTCAATGATCATGTTGGTAGCTTGGACTCTGCCACAGGGGGAGTATTTATACCATGGAAACTGGCAAAAGCTGCAAATCAGGGTTTGATTTATTGTTTTACTGCTGTCTAGACGCAAAAAAAAAAAAGATGGAGACCATGTTGACAAAGCACTTTCAGTTTATAAGGGTGTTGATCTGTGGCCTCTGCCGCTACACCGTGAAGAGGCAGGCTGAGGGAGTGTACTACCGGTATTGAAAAACCGTCACCTGTCTCAGCTAAGAAGTTGTTCATGTCATTATCTACATTGTCCCCATCATTAGGCTACAGATACAAAAGTTTGCGGAAAAAAATCAGCAAAAACACTGTGAAAATCAGTTGGCTGTATGAAGCTGACGATTAAGACTGTTGTATATTCTATTATTTTAAAATTGTGTGCTACACGTCTTTTTACCAGTATAATTTATAATAACTGTGTATGCATACTTTTTTGAGATCCAATATTTTCTTTAATATGTCTGTGGTGGGTAAATTACTTTCTTTTTTTAAATAAAGACTAATTTTTAAAGCAGTTTTAACTTCACAACGGAATTGAAAGGAAGGTACAGAGATTTCCCATTTATTCTCTGGCCCCACACATGCAGAGCCTCCTCCTTTTTATCAACATCCCTCACCAGAATGTTGCATTTTTCACCAAGGATGAAACTACACTGACACATCATAATCACCCAGAGTCCGTAGTTTACCTAAGGGCTCACTCTTGGTGGTGTACATTCTGTGGGTTTGGACAAATATGTAATGACCTGAATCCACCATTGTAACATCATACAGAATGTTTTCACTAAAAATCCTCTGTGCTCTACATAGTCCTCTCTTCCCTCAAATCACACCCTTGGCAATCACTGAACTTTTTACTGCCTCCATAGTTTTGCCTTTTCCAGGATGTCATATAGTTGGAAACATACAGAATGTAGCCTTTTCAGATCGGCTTCTTTTGCTTAGTAATATGCATTTAAGTTTTCCCCACGCATTTTCATGTTTTGATAGTGCATTTCTTTTTAGCGCTGAGTAATATTCCACTGTCTGTATGGACTGTAGTTTATGGATCCATTCTGCCACTGAAGGACATCTCGGTTGCTTCCAAGTTTTGGCAATTCTGAATAAAGCTGCCATAATGTCTGTGTGCAGGTTTTTCTGTGACATAAAATTTCAAGTCCTTTTGTAAATAGCAAGGAATGTGGTTGCTGGATCACATGGTAAGAATATGTTTAGTTTTGCAAGAAACTGACAAACTGTCTTCCAAAGTGGCCGTACTATTTTGCATCCCCACCAGCAGTGAATGAGAGTTCCTGTCTCTCCACATCCTCACCAGTGTTTGGCGTCTGTGTTTTGATTTGGGCCATTCTAATAGATGTGTAGTGGTATCTCATTACTGTTCAGTTTGCATTTCCCTGATAACGTATGATGTGGAACATCTTTTCTTAGGCTTATTTGCCATCTGCACATCTTCTTTGGTGAGGTGTCTGTTGAGGTCTTTGACGCTTTTTTTTCCCCATTGGGTGGCTTGTTTTCTTACTGTTTAATTTTCAGAGTTCTTTGTATATTTGGAGAACAGCCTTCCACCAGATGTGTCTTTCACAAATATTCTCTCTCAGTCTGTGGCTTGTCTTCTTATTCTCTTAATATTGTCATTTGCAGAGCCAAAGTCTGTCATTTTACTCAAGTTGGCTTCTCAATTATGTATTTTTCCATTGATCATGCCTTTGTTGTTTTAGCTAAGAAGGCACCACCATACCCAGGGTTATCTAGGTTTTCTACGTAATCTTCTATGACTTTTATAGTTTTGCCTTTTCATTTGGGTCTATGATTCATTTTGAGTTAATTTTTGCAAAGGGTGGAAAGTCTGTATCTACATGTATTTTTCTTGTAGGTGGATGTCCAGTTGTGCCAATGTCGTTTGTTGAAAAGACTATCTTTACTCCACTGTTATCACCTTTGCTTCTTTGTCAAAGGTTAGTTGACTACATGGGGGTCTGTCTCTGGGTCTTCTGTTCTGTTCCATGGATCTATTTGTTAGTCTTTCATCAGTACCGCGCCATGCTGATTATTGTAGTCTTGAAGCTGGGTAGCATCTGTTCTCCAACTTTGTTCCCATACATTTTTTTCAGAGATTTAGAGGTCAAATATTTGCCAGTGCTTGTGATCTGGTTTGGAGGCTACTACTAATGTGCTGTGTGACTTAATACAAGTTGTTTGGCCTCTCTGGTATCCTCACTGGTGATTT